CCCCCCCCCAAATCCCACCAGCCCCCCCTACCTTATAAAAAATGAACGGTCCCTTAGGTTTTCTACCGAAATTTCTTTCAGATTACGATTTACGGTTTTCGAGGGGAAAAAAGGGGAGGTTCCATAGCCATCGATGACATATCATTCACTGATGGTTGCGGCGGACCCAGTCCCCCGACAGGTCAACCGACGCCACCGACAGGTCATCCAACTCCCCCACCACCAAACACTCCGCCAGTGCCTGGTACGGCTCCACCAACAGGTACATAAGGATGAGCTCTTTCCAATGATATTCCTAAACATAACATACCTTGCATACGGCTGGTACACCTGAAATTTGAATTGACCAATCAGGACTCAGCAGGCGGCGGAAGAACTGCACCGTCCTGACGTTAAATGCATCTTACGCAAAAAGCTTTAAAGTCAAGTAATTTTTCTTACTGGAGATGGCATTAATATTCGCGAAAAGGGATTTATAATAACAAAAACCTATCAGATTTTAAAAAGGGAAAAATAGGAAACATTTTGGCTTCTAATTTGGCGCCAAAATTGGGTCGACCGCGTCAGGCAACTCGCTCTTTGATCGCTGTTGCCAGGTAGGATAATAGTTGTGTTCTTTTCTGTTATTTTTATGTTCTTCCTCGTCAAATTTAACCCAGAATTCTTGAATTAAGTATTAGAGGAGGCCAAAGGAACTTCAGCATTGTCTTTCTTTTGGTGAGCTGCACAGGAAAAGGCTGTTATCGTGTTGTTACGGTAGGACAGCTCGGTTTTGACTGCCGCTTGTACAACAGGCGCAGCTGAATGTATACAATAAAATAATTCGCACGAGACTTACAGATTGTCATTCTGGCTCATTTATGTTATTTTCGTCGGCACTTTTAATTTTTTTCACCAAATCTGATACCTTCATTGACCAGGCTCGTGTGGGCTTAAAGGAAACCAAAGAATAGTAGGTGGAAACCCAGCAAAGAATAACGAATGGCCTTGGCAGGCGCTTTTGATGGATAAGCGAAAGAATCAGTTCTGTGGAGGCTCGCTGATCTCACCTCAGTGGGTGTTGACCGCTGCCCATTGTATCGATGGGGAGAGCACTGCCAGCGTTCAAGTCAGGTAAGAAGGCCAGTGAAAAGAAAAAAAATACGTACTATTTACTATTCTTTATTGAGTTTCGTAGATTTTGGAAAAAGTTGCCATTGTAAATTGGTTTTTCTTTTAGTTAAAAGAGTAAAATAACAATTGTTCATTGTTCTAGTCCAAGGCATAATCTTCATTAAAGCGTAGCGTTTCCTTGATAAATTTTTCAAGCCATTATTTCCACTATTTATTTCCACTGTTTCTTGTCATGTATTTATTGCAGACTAGGAGCACACAAAAGAAAAGGTGAAAAACCAGGTGCAATTGTCCAAGACTTTAAGGTTATTCAGATCATTGCTCACGAAAAATACAACAAGAGAACACAAAGCAACGACGTCGCACTTCTGAAGTTAGAACGTAAGGCCAACCTGAACAGGTAAAAGCTGTAGACTTAACCTGCAAGAGGTCATCATTTGTGAACGGTAGTTTCTTTTTAAGATGTGAAGTATATATGAAATAATTCGTATTTGAACTACGGTTGTAAATGAAAGTGAAGAATGATCATCGCAGTAAATTTTCCAATTTGAGCAATTGGAAAGAAGAATCCTGAAAAAAA